GGAAAATGAAAGTATTCAATAACATTGTATAAGTAATTACTGAATCACTAACTACCTTAAAAGCCAGTTTGTTAATTAAGGTTTAACATGTGAGATGGTTGTAACTGTTGGATAAGGTGTCTAAGTCCATAACTATTTCTGGTTAATACTTGACCCGACCCGACATGGTCCATTTGGGTTGCATGGCACCATGCAATTGGATAAACTAAATGAGAGAAATAACACATATGGTTTATTAATATATTATAAGTTCTAATATATTAATAATATTATTTAATTAGTTTTGATCAAGAATTAATTTAGAATTAATTAACTGATCAAAAGAATAACTAATTAAATATATGGGTAGATTATGTAAATCTTGCATATCTTATATAGTGGGCTAAAAAGCTCCATGGATTATCAAGTTGGGTTCCACCCATAGGATGCTCCATGGATGCTCCATGGAGTTAACCCATGGGTTGAGAAATGAAGAGTCACGTTACATTAGGGTTTTACCTAATGCAACACACTATATAAGGACCATGTCTCTCCCCAAAATCGGTGACACTAGAGAAAGAAGAGGGCTTGGCCGATTCTGAGTGTGTTAGAGTATTCTCTCAAGTTTATACTTTGCATTTGGTGTTGTGTGAAGCATTTGAGGCATCACACTTGAGGTGCTAGGCTCACAAGGCTTCAAGGAATACTTACAACAACAAGGTATGTAGTTCTATCTATTATTCAAGTTAAAATTGTTCCCCATGTATGCTAGATAGGATCATATCCTTCGAAATCAACTTTGCATGATAATTAGACAAACATAGATCCAAGGTTATTAGGGTTGCATGTACACTCAGGAAGTGTTATAATGCTCAAAACCCAACAGTGGTATCAGAGCCTAGGCTTGTTTGTTTGTTATATGTGCTAAATAGTTGAAAAAAGTTGATATTTTTGCAATCTGACTGATGAACTCACCGAGTCCATGGGGTGACTCGCCGAGTTCAATCTTCAACCTCCTCGCCGAGTAGGTTCATGCACTCGGAGAGTAGGAGCCTCAGATTGTAGTTTTTCGACTTTAGTTGCAGGAAATGGACTAGAAACATTACCCTAAACTGTTTTGGTACTTGAAACCCTGTTATAGATGGTGTAATGTCTTTGCTAATCCATTTACAACAACAAGTTATCGAAATTACAATGTTTTAAATGTAATTTTTGATTCATGAAAGTGTTTATATTCATGTTCTTGATCTTATGATGTATAGATGATCATAGGAATTATATATAACCTATGTGATAGATTAATTCATGATCATTATGTGTTTTAATGGAGTCCATAACTTGTCCTCAAGTTATGGAAAACCAAAAGTCACTTTGCTTTAATACCATTAAAAGAACACATGGGTTCTAAAAATGAAGAGTCTTCATTTTTAATACCCTAATAAACTCATAAGTTACAAGAAATGAAATGTTTTGAAAGTTTACAAAACTTGCCCTCAAGTTTTGGAACAAGTAACGTCTTGATTAAAACTTTAGTTCCAACCCTTAGAATTTTAATAGTTAAAATTCAACACTTATACTTATAATATTATAAGTTAATAATATATATATATATATATATATATATATATATATATATATATATATATATATATATATATATATATATATATATATGTACGCCTCATTCATGAAGCCGGTCTATAAGGTGGGTATAAGGTTGTTGCCTATAAAATGGCAACTTAATGGGTGTCTACTCTCACCCACCGCTTGCTTGACTGGTGGAGGGTCGTTAGCTGAACGGGTAAGACAAGGACTTATAAATTCTCATTAAAAGTATGATGAATATTATAAAGTAACTAAATGTTTTATTAAATTCCCAATCTTAGTTACTTTAGGAAAAATGTGAATAAGGTGCTAATCCATGAAACTACACTTTACACTTTGTCTAAGTTGTTAGTGGAGCGTGTGTGGTTAACCGGCACGCTAACTTGGACTTAACAAGGTAGGTAAAGGGTGACTTAATATTTATCATAGTATCGATGGAGCGTGTGTGGTTAACCGGCACATCGATTGAAGGGTAATTTATTAAGGGTACCAAGTAATTTGCATGGTTACTTCACACCTCATTTTCTGATCCTCGGCATCCCAGTCACAAAACTTGGAGGGCACACTCGAGATTGAAACATGACTTTGAAAAGTTCATTAAATCTCAAAAGAATCTACGAGTTTCTAAGAACCAAATTAAATATTTTTAATATTTCGACTTTGGTGGAAATTGGTGAATCGTCATTCACTTACCTTTCAAATATGTTATTACTTAGATTACGGCATACCTATTCTAAGTATAATATATTGTTATTACTTAGATTACAACATACCTCTGCAAACACTGCTGCTTCTGGGTGTAATCCTAATGGCTCCTTTTCTCTTATTAACTTGTGTGGGAAAGTCACTTTTGATGGATCCAAGTTTAATGAATGGATCAGAAACATCCGAATGATTACCCGCTACGAGGACAAATAATATGTCCTCGATATGGAGCTTAAGGAGATTAATGAGACAGTTGCTACTCCTCAAGAGATCGCTGACTTTAGGGCACATGAAAGGGATGCGACCAAGGTGGCATGCATCATGATGGCCACTATGACAGCCGATCTCCAAAAGTCCTACGAGGACTACTACCCTTTTGAAATTTACCAAGATTTGATGGAAAGATACCATCAAAGTGCACGACAAGAAAGGTATGAAATCATCTCCTCCATGATAACAACTCGAATGAAGGATGGAGAACCCATCACGGGCCACATGCAGAAAATGCAACGATTTGTGGACCGCTTGCTGAAGCTTAATGTGAACTTCCCCAAGGAGCTAGCAATAGATATTATTTTGCACTCCTTACCTTCATGTTATGATCAATCCGCATGACATACCACATGAACAAGGAAGAGGTCACTCTTAGCAAACTTCAAGGACTCTTAAAGACCGCGGAAAGTGGTCTTAAGGGTAAGGCGATTGTTACTACCCTTACGCCTACCAACTCCACCCCTGTCTTGGGAATCAGGAAAGGACGAGGGAAGAAGAGAAAGAGTTCTTCGAAGGGTACCAAGTTTAGGACCCTTGATGGCTCTTCTTCAAGTGGAACCAAGAAAGGTTTCATCACTACTTCTTTTGACCCAAAGGAGGCTGAATGCTTCTATTGCCATGAAAAGGCACATTGGAAGCGCAACTGCCCAAAGTACCAGTAAGATGTGAAGGATGGGAAAGTTAAACCCAACCATGCAGGTATTTACACTATCTTATCTAATAACCCACCCCATTCTAACTCATGGGTCCTTGATACCGGTTGTGGTATTCATATATGTTCTGATTTGCAGGGACTAAGAAGAAGTGAGAATATGGAGAAAGGAAGGATAAACTTGATCATGGGAAACAGGAAAGCTTCACCTGTCACCAAGATTGGAGTTTATACTTTATCTCTAAGTAGTGGGTTTAGTTTAGATTTGAATAAATGTTGTTATTCGCCAGAAATGGCAAGAAATATTATTTCCTTTCATGCATTGTATAAACAAGGTTTCACCTTTTCATTTGATAATGAAGTTGGTTCGATTAATGCTTTCTTTAATAATGTTCTTTATTTTAAAGCAGTACCTTGTGATGGCGTGTATGAAATTGTATCTATGGTTGATAACTTAGGAAATAATGTATTGTGTGTTGATTCTGTTAATAATAATAAGTTGGATAAAGCATCACTATGGCATTGTCGTCTTGGACATATAAGCAAGAAACGCACAGGCCAACTCCAAAAGGATGGAGTCTTGGAGTTATTTGACCTAAAGTCTGATGATAGTTGCGAATCATGCTTACTTGGAAAAATGACAAAGTCACCCTTCACAGGTTCTTGTGAGAGGGGTGAAGGTTTGTTGGATCTTGTGCACACGGATGTGTGTGGACCATTCAAACTTGCCACAAGGGATGCTAATCGTTATTATTTGACTTTTACTGATGATTACAGTAGATATGGATATGTCTACTTAATCAAGCATAAGTCAGAGACTTTCGAAAGGTTTAAGGAATTTAAATAGGAAGTCGATAATCAATTGGGCAGGAACATTAAGATGCTTCGATCCGATCGAGGTGGTGAGTATCTTAGTTCAGAGTTCCTCGACTATCTTAGGGAATGTGGGATTGTCTCACAATTGACACCTCCCAGGACACCGCAGTTGAATGGTGTGGCTGAGAGGCGTAATTGAACCTTGTTGGATATGGTTCGTTCCATGATAAGTCGAGCTTCGCTACCAATCTCATTCTGGGGTTATGCCACTACTAGAAAAAATTCCTTTTACGACGCTCATTGCACGTCGTAAAACGCTCAGACGACGCGCAAATGCGCGTCAAGGAAGGCCCTGTCATAAAGAGAGACGACGCACATTTATGACTGGCATTTCGACGCGCGGTTATGACACGCAATGCATATCAAGAAGGCCCTGTCATAAAGTAAGACGACACGCATTTGCGTGTCGTAACCTTACGACGTGCGTGTTTATGACACACAATGCCTATCAAGGAAGCACCAGTCAAGAAAGGCCATGTCATAAATGATGACGACACACATTTTTGCGTATCGTAAATTTTTTTAAATATATATATTTATATATTTATTAATTTATAAATTAAATTTGCATTTAATCTCTCATAATACAAATAAAATACCATATACAAAAAATACAATCCATTGCACAATATAAAATAAAATACCATATACAAAAAATACAATCCATTGCATTTAATCTGTATATATAACAAAGACACATGTGTTAAACTTGTTACCATTAACATCTAATCGTATGGACTCGAGTGTTAAACTTGTTACCATTAATATCTGATTCATAAGTCCTTTCAACAAGATTGTTACTTGCATAAATGAAAACAAACAGGAACATTAACAGCCCAGCTATGAATAATATTGTTACCTGCATAAGTTACTAAGAGAGTTATATACTCAACATGTTTGTAATATGGGACTAAGAAGCCCAAGAATTGTCTGTGTTTTTCCTGTTCCTGGTGGATCCTACATAGACAAAAGGTAAGAATTAACATTTTCAAAGTAAATATAAGAAAAGGGCATTATAGTAATTACCTCCATGCAATACTCAATGTTCTTCTGGATAATATGATTTAGAATCTCTGGTACATATCATAAGGATCCCAAAATCATATAGTTGGTTATTGTTTAATTATTGTTTAATTTATAACATTTTTCCCAGGATAATGATGTTTATAAAAATATTTGAGAAGCCATACTCAAATATATATATATATATATATATATATATATATATATATATATATATATATATATATATATATATATATATATATATTAAGTTCATTAAGTCAAAAAGAGACTAACAATTATAAACTTAAAAAGGATACTTGGGTCCACAACTTCAGCCAAATTATCTGAGTTTAGCAACAAGATGTACTCTTTACCCTGAAAAGCATGATTGAGGTAATCTCGTTAAGTCTTATAAATTTAAAATGTTAATATAAAAAAATAAAAAAAATGGACAGCTGGCTTTACTTGTAATAATAATTCATCAATTTTGCCACTCTTCTTCAAGGAAAGCAAAGCCTCCTACTGATCAAAAGCATACCTTTTTGCAAAAGGAAGAATTAAAAATAATTATACCATGTAGATATATAAATCAAGAATGAAGGGGAATATGAATATCCTTAGAACATTAATTTTACTCATTAAAGTAAAGAAACAGATAGATCATACAGTGGTTTATCCTTAGAAATTCCTTTGACATCATTCTCTGGAACTTGATCCTATAACAAACACATAATGTCATTGAGAAGTGACAAGATATGATAATAGAAAAAATAAATAGATAAAAAGCTGATGCAGATGGGCCGTCCATTGTAAAAGCAACAATAACCTGGGCAACATCTTAGTTTAATTTAACACCATGGACTTTAAAATAAAAATAGGAATTAAACATACCTTTTGTGCTGCTCAACTGAATTGGGTGGCAGCATCACTTATGGCATAAACTGTATTACTAAGAAGACTAGTAGTTCCTTGTGTCATGCCTGTGATGAGTCCTGCTGGACTCTTCTATGTATGACGGAAATCGGTAACAAAAAAAAAAGCATACCAGCAACATATGGAAATGGGGGGCCAACGGACTGAAGATAGTAGAGATCTTCGGATAATTTGAATAAAATCAGATTAATAGCTTGCACCAGTTGTTGCAGGGTGCCAATCACTGTTACAAGCCTATCATTTAATCCAATATAGTTGTGATCCTGAGGGGAGATCTTAATGTTGGGTCTATAGTCTTCAATGAAGGACCTGTAAATGTAATAACATATCAAAAATGGAAGTTGTCACGAATTTAAAATTACAAAGTAATAGATCAAATTTGGTCTTACCTAATCATGGATCCACCCTTTCCTATGATTCCACCACATTAGCTATTGGGTACATTCCACCCTTTCCTATGATTCCACCCTTTCCGATAATTGAACCAACTTCAACATTTGATGCAAGAAACCTCAGATATGTTGTATCTATACCATCTTGAATGAAAAATGAAATGTTACTAAAACATAAAGACTATGAGACTCAGGTTTTTGTAATGTTTTACTTTAAATTTATTCAAATATAAGCATGTTAGATCTGATTTTCTTTGGTGTGTTTGTACAGGGGGTGAAGTTATGGATCAAATGCAGATACCCTATCGACAACCCTTCCATTTCCCATGCTTTCCATTATTTTCTCAATATAATTTTCAAACATCAAATGAGATAATTAAAGGCTTACTGCTGCTTGCACAAGCCTCTGTATGTTGAATCGCTACACCCTGGAAACTCCCCAATTGCTCCTTCAAATGAGATAATTAAACGCTTTCCTTTTCCTGAAGCAATAAGGGATCTAATTTATGATTTATGATGAATATATATAAATGTTAAATGATTGTGTATAAAATGACACACCTGGCTGAGAATGTTTTTTTCCCAATATGAGAAAAACAACCTGCATGGTTGTAGAAATATTAACTTATGGAAATAGAATGTTATTTCTTGCATTCAACCTTTTTCAATATATGCAGGATCATATCATGAGATTTAAAGGGTTCAAAACTTACTAAAAGCTGCAGATGGAGTCACTGGATTATCGGAAAGCACACCATCCACAGAGAATCTGCCGTTATCCACAAAATACAGATACGCTTCTACAGGGACATAACTGTAATTATATGCAACTTGCACATCATTCATGAAATCTTAACCAAATCTTGTAAACTCACTTTGTCAGCATCCAAGATCAATGAGGTAGATGGTTGTAAATAGAAGTCATTGTCCACAGGCCATATGTATGATTTAGTAACTAAAACACCAAAAACGAATGTATTGATAGATGTCAGATTTTTTAAAAGTGAACCATATGTTTGATTGGTTGAGGGCTCAGTCTTGTTCACTTCTAGAAATCTGAAAATTAGTTTTTCGAGTAACACACATGTTGACAGCCTGGACAATGATCATTTTTAAAACAGTTTGAAAATTTTGATGTTTTTACTGTGTATCCTTTTAGTACAGGATATCTTCAAAATCCTATATTAATAGACGACATAATGGAGAAAAACAGAAAAATAAACATCATTCAAATCACAACACCATTTACAAAGGTGACATAAAGGTGAGAACCAGAAAACAAGGGTACTGGTGTTAATGTATCTCAAGAAAATAAGGTTAAAAGTGGAAGAGTTTTGGAAATATTTGGGTTCTTGTGTGCAGAAGGCTCTATTTTGTGTGTTTGAACAAATGGTGGAAGAAGCGAAGATGAATGAAGAAACATTTCTTGTGAGGCTACTTGTAGTTTATACTCAAGTAGGTTGCCTTTTGGGAAAATCTGGTGGTCTAATCAAGCAAATGGCTTCTGAAAGCAGAGAACAAATAAGGATTCTTCCAAGGGATAAAATTCCTGCATGTGCATCTTCTTCTGACGAATTGGTTCAGGTAAGCTTATTTTTGAATCAGGATTTATCTAAAAACCCATGCTGCCTGCCATCAAACTCACAATTTTTTCTTTTGTCTTAAATAACAGACAGGTTTATGGGGAAGTGAGTGTAGTTAGGAAAGCGCTTGAAATTCAATTGAAAAACTTTAGGTTTATTATATCAAGTATCAACTTACATTGAATAAATGGATTGTAGGTCCCAGATGAGCAGATATGTGCTCCCCAAGATGCAGTTCTTCGTGTACAGACAAGGATATTTAGGGCTGCACCTGAGACCAAGCCAGTGACAACAAAAGTCATTATGACAGCAAAAGTAATTGAGATGCAGCACATGGAGCATTGACATCATTTTAGTACCTGCACATTGAAACCAAACAAGAAGACATTAAACAAGGAGAAAGAAAGAGAAAAGGGATCCCTTCATAAATTTATCAATAAAACCTATTTGAAAAATTCTAGAGAAAGAGATAACCTACCTTAAGACACCATCAACAGGTTCAACAAGAGGCTCCCAAGCTTCAAGTTTATCATTATATGATCTGGCAGCCAATGAGAAGCAAACAGTGGCATTGAGGTAATCAGGCCTGCTATGGAGACTAAATCCAATATTGCTCAACGATATGTTAGATAATGGTTTCATCTGCAATTCCAAACATATAAAACAATTCAGATCCTAGTGATCAATGCGGAGGATAACACTAAACCATTTATAAATATCTAGGGGGAGCCTAAGGCAGCCACAAAGATATACTTTCAGCTCCTTTATGTTTCTTTATTTGCCCGAGAAGTTGAAAACGAACAGGAGCTTTAAAAGGCTCATCATCTTCAAGAAGAGTATTATCCACACTTTAAAATGCCAGTCTAGGAGAACTTTTGCAAATTAAAGAAAAAGTCAATAGAATACTCGAGATCTAGGTATGGTAGCATTTATTGAATTGGGAATTTCACATACATGTCACCATAGTTACTTGTGATGCAATCCCTTAGCGCGCATGTAGATACCAAAGAATCATGTATACAGAAGGTGGAGGAGAGTGAAGGTTGTGTCATTCGTCATTGTAGCTGAACAGTCTCTAATCTTCTTCAAATATATTTTGGTGCGAGACTGGATCAGCTGCTGATGCAATCGTATACGAATCGACAAAATCAAGCAATTGAATCGCAAAATGAAGTTGTTTATTCGTCATTAGTTTTCATCCCCCAAACAGAGGAGTAAAGTGAGATAATCAATGGGTTCAAGCCGCCATTAGAGGTAGTGAAGTTTATGTTTAGCCGCTGTCGCTATAGAGATGTACAAAGGTACGAGGTGAGATCTAGGGTTCGAGCATGAGAAAGAACTGTTATAGGATCGTTGGTGATTGGATTTCATTGGAGGGTGGAGATGTAGAAGAGAGAACGCGCAATAGAGAAAAGCGGGGCAAGTTCTTCACAAAAAGCCCTAGCTCCGATTGGATTCCGGCATCGACGAGGCCTTTGATGCCGGTTTTTGTTTGGTCGAAAGCTTTGGGCTCCGATTGTCGATCGTAGCTTGAGCCCACTCAAGCAATGGTAGCAGCCATTTTTGTGAAGATGATCGTGTTATATATGCGAAGGTATTCTCTAGAAATGTGAGTGAGGATCCTTGCAATTGTGTCCCTATTAATGTAAAGTGTTTGATTTCTTGTGAGAAATGAAGCAATAGAGATCGATCTATCGAGGATGTGGGTCGTTCTTTGAGGGATGAAAAAACCCTAGTTTCTTAGACTTTTTGAGTACAGGGTTTTCTAAATTTTAGATTCCCGCGAGGTATTAAGGATGGGACACGATGTTTGATGAGATCAATAAGGAGGTCAGGAGTGGCGGAGAAGCGGATCGGAGAGGAGAGAGAAGTAGGAGAGGGGAGAAGATGAAAGATAGAAAGAAGGTAGAAGACAATTTTTCAAAATTTTGGGGATTTCGTTTCCCACCTCTATTGAACTCGCGTTTTCATTAAAATTATAAAGAGACAGATATAGAGGACGGGCCTTTAAAAAAAGCGCCCTCCGTGTTTTTAATTTCTTTTCGTGAGACACTAATTTAAGGGCAGCCAATAATGCGTAACATAAATCCTTAAATTTTTTGAAGAGATGACACTTTTTTCATGTCACTCTCTTTTGCGTAACATAAAGCAATGAGTGTCGTGGTTTGCGCGTCGTAAAATGGTCTTTTTCTTGTACTGTGCCTTAGAGACTGCCGCCCATATTCTTAATCTAGTCCCTACAAAGAAAGTTGCCAAAACTCCTCACGAGACGTGAACTGGTAAAGTACCTAAACTAGACCACATCAAGATTTGGGGTTGCGATGCTTTTGTGAGGCGCGAGTCTCATGATAAGCTAGAACCACGAAGCGAGAGGTGTATTTTAATCGGCTACCCACAAAGATCCTTTGGTTACCTCTTCTACAGACCTAGTGATAATGTGGTCTTTGTAGAGAGAAGAGGAGTCTTTTGAGAGAGAGAATTTATAAGCCAAGGAGACAGTGGGAGGCAAATTGACCTTGAAGAACTTCAAGAGTCAAGCAGTAAAGGAACTTCAAACCCTAGCCTTCAACTTGAGGAGGAAACTCCTGTTGATCCAGTTGACGAGTCTGTACCTCTGAGGCGTTCCACGAGAGTTAGGAATGCATCTGAGCATTACTATGGTTTCCATATTACTGCGAAAGGTGAGGCACTTATTAGTGATGAGACACTAGTAGGTCTGGATGAACCTAACAGCTACACGGAAGCCATGGCAGGCCCTGAGTCTGCTAAATGGAAAGAGGCTATGGATAGCAAGATACAATCCATGTATGACAATCAAGTTTGGAACTTGGTTGAGAATGTACCAGGTCGTAAGACTATAGGGTCCAAATGGATCTTCAAGAAAAAGACCGACATGGAGGGTAATGTACACACTTATAATGCTCAACTGGTTGCAAAGGGCTTCTCTTAAATTCCTAGAGTGGATTATGATGAGACTTTTTCTCCAGTAGCCAAGATTAAGTCTATTAGGGTTATGTTAGCCATAGCTGCATTTCATGACTATGAAATTTGGCAAATAGATGTCAAAACCGCTTTCCTTAATGGAAAGTTGACTGAAGATGTTTACATGAGTCAGCTAGAAGGTTTTGTCAGCAACGAGTACCCTAATAGAGTGTGTAAGCTTGAGAAATCCATTTATGGATTAAAGCAAGCACCTCGCAGATGGAATCTTTGCTTTGATGAAAAGGTCAAGGAATTTGGCTTTTCTAGGAGTGAAGATGAATCTTGTGTTTATGTCAAGGCTAGTGGGAGTATAGTTAGCTTTTTGGTATTGTATGTGGATGACATACTACTCACAGGAAATGACATCCCAGCTCTGCAGGAAGTTAAGTCCTAGCTTGGGAAGTGTTTCTCTATGAAGGACCTAGGAGAAGCTGTCTATATTTTACGGATAAGGATTTTGAGAAACCAGAGTAAAAGACTAAATGGACTTAGTCAAAGTACATACTTGGACAAGGTGTTGAAGAGATTCATCATGCAGAACTCCAAGAAAGGAGAGTTACCCATCCAGAGTAACACCATATTGTGTAAGACACAAAGCCCAAGTACCTAGGTGAGATAGCAAAAATGAGTCAAGTACCTTATGCTTTAGCAGTAGGCTCGATCATGTATGCTATGACGTATACTCGACCTGATGTAGCTTTCGCCTTGAGCATGGTTAGCAGGTATCAGGGGAATCCTAGCAAGGCACACTAGATTGAGGTAAAGAATATCCTCAAGTACCTTTGGAGGACTAAGGACTGGGTCCTTACCCTCGGTGGGAGTGATGACTTGATAGTTGTAGGGTATAGTAATGCTAGTTTCCAAACTGATAGGGATAATTTCCACTCTCAGTCGGGCTGGGTCTTTACCTTAAACGGAGGAGCAATCACTTGGAAGAGTTCCAAGCAGGAGACAGTGGCTGATTCCACTTGTGAATCAGAGTATATAGCAGCGAGCGAGGCAGCAAAGGAGGCAATATGGCTAAAGAACTTCATTGGAGACCTTGGAGTTGTACCATCTATAGAGGAGCCCATGTAAATTTTCTGTGATAGTGAAACTGCTGTTGCCTTAGCCAAGGAACCAAGGGATCACGGGAGATCCAGACACATCGACAGAAAATATCATTTTATTAGACATCGCATAGAAGAAGGAATCCTCATGGCAAAGAGGGTATCATCGGATGAGAACCCAGCAGATCCCCTCACGAAGGGACTGAGTAGGGTTAAGCATCTCCAGCATGCT